TTCCATACATTTAGCATGTTCAATTATCGGTGTCTCCGTAGGATTCCTGATATTCACCAGTGAAAGTTCACAATTCTCAGCACGTGTTTTGGTATAATAGAAATAGTCATTCACTAATTCACAATATCTACCAACACAGACTTTGGCGGCTTGAACTTCAGTCATGCACACTTTCCGGTTATTATTCGTTAGGAGTGGAATAAAGAACTTCGGCGACACAACTGCATTCCACTCGGTTCCCTATCATCGCTATTGACTATCTACAAGTTTTCATTTCCTATACACATTATCGTCTCTATCTAATCCTCGGACACCCTACCCATCGCTTCCCATTGAGGTACCACACGAGTGTCTGGCTTGTGTGGTCCCTTAAGTATCTTCCTAACGTATATGTCCAATATATCTGCATCTCTTTATGCTTATCTGTTGGTTGTTTCTCTGCCAGGGTTCTTTGTTCCTTATCCTTTCCATGTATCTGATTTGCAGTGTCGAGCCAGTGAAGACAGCTGTCGATGAAGGTCTGTACCATATTCTGTGCTAATTGTTAGTCCTAGTACTGGTTGAAATATACGACTGAGGTAATTTAATGGCTCGCAGTTCTTTTGGTGAGATCTGATGGGTCATAGGATTCAGTGAGTTTAAATGTAATCAGATACGATTCGGAACTTAGACAAGCAGCTATTATCCCACATCATCCTGAATAAGTCTCAATTGACAGCAGTTATACTGAGTTTTGTTTAGGACTTCTATGAATGAGTAGTAAGTGAGAATAAGTGCTTCCTTGAATACATTTTACGGGAAAATAAGGTCATACGATTTACACTGAAATGAAAATATTAACCAGCCATGGTATTAACGTTTGGATGTTTACATATTTAGTGTGTGACACGGTGTTTTCTGGTATGACTTTGAGGCATCTGGTAACACTGATAAGTGCGGTTAGCAAAATGTCTTTCAAAGTCATTTTATCAAACCACGTAAGCTTTTGGAGCTTTTACTCGGTCGCCTTCTGATTATATTTAGCGGTAAGTTTTGCTACAACCATACTTTTTTAAAATTCTGCTACGATTAGTTATTGTTTTGTTGAATTTCCTTCCTACTGACCTCTCCTCCACAACTCTGACCTCGAAATCATAACAGCGAGTTCTGTAAGCCAAATTACTTGTCCAATAGGCTCTACACAAGTTTATATGTAAGTAATGCTGAAGGTAATGGAAAAGACTGTCGCACCAAGCACTTTTGCAAAAAGTATATTACTGATTAACTGGTTTCAACAAAGAACTTTGTATAGAAGTGCAGCAATTCGAGCTGCCACTCTCTATGATGTACAAAAAGGAAGACAAAAGCAAACATTCGAATAATATTGGCTATAGTATATCACAGAGAGTGAATTAATCTGAGTAACTGAGAACGATTTTGAGCCATATCACTAATTGTTTCTAGCCAGTGGTTCTTAGAATCCCAGAGACCCTAACCAGGAAGTCTACACCTTCCTACGTGGCTCAAACTGCTTAAGATTTCGTGGACGGATGCTATGTTTTCTTCTGACTGCTACTAGCTCTAATATTATCCGCCAAAAAGTATATCAACAAAGACTGCTGTCTGTCTGTTTTCGACATAGAACTTTGCACAAATGTGCGGCAGTTCAAGTCGCCACACTCCGTGTAGCACGCGAAGCAAGAGAAGAAAGTACAAGAAAAGCATAATAGAAACAGTGAGCAGAGGTGTGAGACAAAGGAGTAATAAAGAAAAACAAAACAGTTTCATTGGAGATCATAAGTCACTGCGACTCGATTTTTATCACCACTGTAGTCACAAGTAGGTAGTTGCTTAATCTGCATATCACAATGACCCAACAAGTTATACTGGTTGCTACGATTGTCCCTTGAACTCCAGGAAGTTCAGCTAGACAGTTTATGTCTACGCATAAGCTGATTCTTTTACAAATAGGTTGTGAGGAATATTACGACAGCCAGATGTTTCCCTTGGAAGACTAAAAAGCCAATTACATTGAATAGTCCCACAGTGGATGAACGTAGACCTCAGAAATTGTACACTCTAGCGGTCACTTTTCCGTAGGAAACTCCGCATCCGTAAACAGGTCGCACATCACCTATTTCAAGTAGTAGCCTGTTACTAAATAAAACTAATCTCTTTACTGGTTCAGGTAAGACAATAACATCCACAGAGTGCCTAACCTAGAGTCAACTGTCCAGACACGTTTGTCTGCGTCAAAAGATTGAATTTCCTCTTTTTGAACTTGTATCGTATTGACCATTTATACCCTGTATTTCTTTAGATATTCTGTTCTGTCCAGAATGTATATGTATAGGAGTAGACTTCCAGAGTTGTTAACGAGGCCTAAAAACATAGTCTAGTACACTTACTACTTCCATAAAACAAACTTTCTTCCTGTATAACCAGCAACCAAGGTAATTCTGGTGAAGGGATGATTCCCATACACATGTAAGATGACAGATAACTGTAGAAATTGCTTATTTCAAACAGAATTATGAAACTTATCATCAAAAGCTGCACACACACAAATAAACAGAAGTATATCTTGCAAACAAAAAATGACATTTCAGAATGAAGCACATCTGATGAGAAAGCAATAGCCTATTGGACAACGCACTTTGGTGTTTGATAAATATTTAGACCTTAATTCACCTCATTAATTATCTGTGAAGACAAGTTTCAGTTAAATGTCTAACAGACCGGGCAATAACATTAAGTAGTACATCAAAAAACCTGAATGACAGGATGAAACAAATAGAAGAAGAATTGAAGTTCAATAACAATCCCAAAAAATTCATTTAGAAGACAGCAAAAGCTCACAAGAAAAAGAGAAATAATGGTGAAACTGGTAACAATGACATTAATAAGAAGGAATTTAAAGTATCTACAGTTTTACTTTTTTAATATATTTGCGCGTTGAAGTTTCTGTAGCGATTTGGTTGAGTTTTGGAGTTGCTAGCACCACGCCCCAACCCTCCCTCTTTATCCGGGCTTGGGACCGGCAAGAAAACTGGCGAGCTAGTAATGTAGGCGAGGTTTTGCTACATAAAGGACACCTGAAACTCAGCGTAAAATTCTGAACAAGTCGGGAATTAGGGTGGCATTTAAACCTACAAACTCACTCAGGGACACTATCTGTAGATTAAAGGACCCCATTAACCCAATTACGTGACATAATGTAATTTACAGAATACCTTGCAACGGCTGTGAGTTGAACTACATAGGTCGAATCAGTAGTTATGGGGTAATCAGACTACTGAAACGTAAGAGTTTAGCTGAGTGTAGAATAAATGACCTTACGAAGATGAGTCTGTCTGATTTTCCACAAACTAGAAGATATGCAAGTGAAAATCAACAAGTTGGCAGAAGATAGGACTTCCTTCAGGTGAACACAGAGAAAGCAGAGGTGATGAAGATTCCTGGCCAACAGCAACAAAAACAGACAAAAATCAGCCAGCATAAATGAGAGGAATATGAAAGAAGCAACCTCCATTACCCACTTACCTTAGAAGCATCGTTTCACCTTCAGAGGAACGGAACTGAGGAAGATATCAAAGCACGGGTCCGGAAAGCAAAGCAGGCTTTCATCACTCTCAGGTTTGAGTGGAGATCAACTGCACTCGGCATCAAAAATAAGATCCGGATTTTCAACTCCAATGTAAAGTCAGTGCTACTTAATATATGGATCAAAGACTTGGCATGTCACGAATTTCCCTCCGAACAAACTACAGACCTGCATCAACAGCAGTCTTCGCTCAATACTACTCAAGATAAGATGGATAGAAAACATCAACGACAGGGATCTCTGGCAATGAGCGAACCAACCCAGCAGGAACCGATTATGCAACAAATATGCAGAAAGAAATGGAGGTATATTGGCCATACTTTGAGAAAACCATCAAGTGACATCACAAGACCATCGATTGGAACGCAAATGGGAAGGGGCAAGTTAGTTGGTCGTCAGTGGAAGGGTGACATGGAGGAGGGTATGTGAAGAGGAGATGAAAGCAGGTGACCAGACATGGAGCCAGGTGAAAACGTTGTCAGAGAACCGAATGCAATGAAGACGTTTAGAAGAAGCTCTATGTTCCTTTAGGAACTAAATGGAACAATAATAAATAATAATAATGATAATAGCGAAGATGAGTAATTTAGGAAAGAAACTTAGCAAGTGGAATGCATGCAGTAACAGACAACCACACAATAGCGTGGGACAGAGTTACAATTCTAGAATGGAATATGGGTAGGTGGAGAGAAAGGTTGGTTGCACAATCTTTTTTTCATAGAGTCTACACCCAGCACATGCAATAAAAATGACTCAGCACTAATACCAGAGATTTGGAAGATATTACTACCAATTAAGCCAAAGGAAAAGAAATAATGATCAATTCTGCTTCATTTTATTTCAGTTTACGTAATCAGATTTTATTAATTTATTTTATTTTACCGACAAAACAACTTATTTCCCATCTCATTATATCATATTGACAGCGGTCGTTCTATTTCCGAATGTACTCCATCTTCCCATAATCTATTTCCTACATGTCTATTGAACCTTATATTAACTTCTGTTTATTCACTCATATGTCTGATCAATTTCTGTTACTCATGTATATAAATGAAGTTGGAGAACTGTGTGAGTACCTTGACATGATAATGAGCTTTGAATTGTGCTCAAAACGTCATCAGTGTATAATATTGTATAAAGCTGTGCGACTTAATCAAATAAATTCACTCTATGATGGAATTATACTCTACCATAGTGCTCAAGTTCTATTCTTATTACTTTGAAACGATGGGTTTGAGCCTCAGTAGGTTACAGGTATGCATATCCAGCATACAAGTTATCCATAGGATGAAATGCGCGCGCCCTGAATTCCATCTGTAGCCATCATCTATCTATCTATCTATCAGGTAGCCTAACCCAAGCATATTCGCTCAAAACATTGCTGATCATCTGAGAAAAAAAAAAGTCAACTATCGTAGATTTACAAACAACGTTTTTATTAATTATAACACAAATGGTTTTTTACTGGAAGATATCTATCGCGGTTAATACAAAAAGGAATTAACTCTGAATATGAACAATTACAAAAAGGCATAGAGTCTAGATATGCTGTAGTAAATGCTAATATCATCAAACAACCTTGGCAAAAATGTCACCCCCGCAAACGACATATACAAAAAATGATATTGTTAAAAAGGAAACTTTAATGGGAATGTAATAAACGAGTGAAACATGTGGTGAGATACGAAAACAACAATGAAACAACGTGATGGATGAATACAGCAGAAATATGATTCAATGTAATGTAAATTCACATATTATCAAAACTATCTCTTAAACGACTAGCATTGCCGCTAAGCGCCTGTCGCCATCTTCTCTCATCATTGACTAAATCACCACTTCCGCCAACATTAAGTTTAGGCGGAGTACGTTGAAGCATGTTAGTAGATCCAGTGTGAGTTGGTAAACTTTCTGAATGGAATGATGTTGAATAATTAGGTGAACGTAAGCCTGCATATGACAGGGGAGATTGTCGAAAGGTATTCGGACTTCTGCTAGGAATGAAGCTTTGACTCCACAATTGACCATTAGCATGAGAGTGATTCAGATTATTAGTTAACGGAGGAAGCGGACCAGTGGAATACTTTCCAACATTTGAACCACTTGAAGAACTTACTAGTGTCTCACTGCGTAATATGATGTGTACTGTAAGGAGAGAAAAAAAAACAGGACAACATTTATGAGTATTAAAATATGCAGATATTACAAGAAAGAATGTAAAGGAATGGAATTACTCATAAAGACCATATTTGCACTAATCGATTGTATTTTGTGATGCGAGCAGACATAGAAAAACGTTGATAAGTTACTTTTTCGGCGACTTTGATTAATTTCAAACTAGCGACATGATATACCGACGAGAACTATCACTGAATTCAACTAGCATATAAATATCAATTCAATACCGGTTAACGAATAACTTCGAGATGAGTTCTCAGTAGTAATGACGAGGAATCGGTGGGCATGGAGTCTGTCAATTCGAAGTTGATAACAGTGGACGACGGTGAGGATGTGAGGTGAATTGATAAAGATTAGAATTTATACGGACATAGAAGCGGTTGAGTAGTAACACATATTGTGAAACCAAAGGGTCGTGGGGTCAATTCTCGATGGGATCATGCATGCACATAACTGAGAAATGAGAAACAACTATTCATTGCTCTGCAGCTCTCAAGGGTAAAAAAAACCTTTCCTCACCTCAAAAATCCTTTGAAGAGAGTTTTATCTGGTCTATATTTTTAAAGCATAAAAAGCATTAGTAGTAATGTTCTTTACTAGTAATTAATGACTACAACAACAAGTCACATTAATGTGTTATTAATTCTACTTCGAAGAACTTTTCAGTATCATCATAGGTTATCAGTTAAAAACTGTGTGTAATATTCATGTCTTGGTTTAGCTAGCCATCTTGGCATATTTTTCAATAAAATTTCACTCTTATTAACATAAAACATTTGTGCATCGGTGGTACAGCGGTAAAATGCTCACCAACTAAGCATGTAGTCTGGGGTTCAATCTCCGGTCGACGAACTCTCTTTACCTAGCTAGGCCAGTAATAAGACTGGTAAAGAGGGAAGGTTGAGCAGGAGGCTAGCAACCCCATAGTGTAAAAATAAACACCACTGATACCGAAACCTCAAGCCCTACGTTCCACTGGCAACGTAAAAACGATATAAAACATGAAAAAACCCTGTAAAAAATTAGACCCAGTTATACATGTCAGGAGTGGTAACAAACTGAAGTATTAAAGGTTCAAACAATTGAAGTGAAATCTGTCTGTCTGTCTGTTTTCGACATAGAACTTTGTACCGTTATGTGGCAGTTCAAGTCTCCACACTCCATGTAGCACACAATACAAGAGAAGAAATGCATATTAGGGAAAGTAAACAGAGGTGCGAGACAGAGAAATAGTAATAACGAAAAACAATGTAGTTTCATTGGAAATCACAAGGAGTGGATGTACCTGCGCCAGCCATTGTGAACGATTTTGAGCCATGTCACCAATTGTTTCCAGTCATTGGTTTTGACCGTCCCGAGGACCCCAACCAGGAAGTCTACACCTTCCTACGTGGTTTAGACTAACTGTTGTAGATTTCATTGACTGGTGACATGTTTTTGTTTGATCTCCGCTAGCTTTTTTCCAACCTGACCCTATATCCGCTAACATTGCTCGTCGAGGGAGGCGATGACTAGACATTCGTGCGTAACACATGTCCTAACCATCTCAGTCTATGTAACTTCACAACCTCGTCGATTGATTTCCCCTGCTTACCTAGAACTTGACGCCTAACCTCAATATTGCTCATATTATTATGCCTCTTCACACGGGAGATAGAACGCAGGCACCTATGATCGAAGACAACTAGTCTTTTCATGTCTTCCACTCTCAGTGGTCAGGTCTCACAGCCATAAAGGAGGACGGGGCGGACTGATGAGCAGTACAGCTGCCCTTTGGTCGATAGTCAGATATTTCGTCTACGCCAGAGACGGCGTAAACTGGCATATGCGAAACGAGCCCCCTGTATCGGTGCTGAGATTTCGTCAGAGACCAACCCGTTGGGGCTGATGGTTCTTCCCAAATAAGTGAAGTTGTCAACATGCTCTACCACTTCACTTCCTATTTCGAAGCTAGGAGTCAGTGTATCAGCAAAATTTAGAGATAGTGAAAAGTGGAGTGCAACTTTTATTAAGTGATGCCATCAGACAACGCCTTCTCTTTCTATTAATGGCAGTTATTTGCATCAAATATTCTATAAAGATGATTTATCGTTCATATGGGTATTATTTTCTCTGAGTTAAATGATTAATATGAGAAGCTTTAATTGTTTTTATACACATAAACATGGTTAAAGAAGACCTCCGAAGACAATCAATAACAGTTAGACATCAGGAAGGATAGTTATATCATTTATGGAGAACTTCAAAAACTCATTTCAAAGTCAAGTTAGTGCTGAAAATGCTGTCTAGAAGGACAAAGAGACTTTCTCAGTTAAACAAACCATCCTCCAGAGATCACACACAGAACACAACATCGATATTTTTCGCCTGATGACTAGAACAAGATTGACATTATGATTAGAAATCTGAAGATGAAAAAAAATGAATACGGAACCGAAACTCACCTATAACAGCAATGAGTAATGTGACTACGATAACAGCAAACAAGTGAATCCAAGAGAAATTTAAAAAGTAAGGCGACGAAGTCGACTGTTTGATTATTTCTTTAGCATCCAGCTGACTAACAGATGGTAGACTAACTCGCACAGGGATTTCAATATGCTGACCGGTTGAACGTAGACTAAGCACCACATTTACTACTGTATCAATAGCTGTAGATCAAAGGGAAGAATAATGATCAATTCACATAGTCATGTGTGAGAAATTTAATAAAAGAAAAAGACGGACTAGTAACCTGACAAATAAAAAAGCCTTAACAAACATTCAAAACAATAAGAGCTTTAGCAACAGTAAAGAGTAGACACCGCAGTCAAATGACTTTAAAACGGGTAATCAGGTCGCTCAGTATTGCACATAGGTGCTGTTTACAATCTTTATGGCACGTTACACCCAGATTTGATTTTTGGCTTCTGTGTGAAAAATGGGTTAATAGGGTAGACTAAAACATGCATATTTGATGGAGGGATAATGACTCTTGAGAAATATTGCCAGGCTCTTGACGGTTATGCATTCAGATTCAGTATCCGTCATAGCAGGTAGTCTGTAAGAGTAGGTAAGTCATACAATACGGCGATTTTTTTAGATACTTTCTTCTGGAAATCGAAACTCTTCCTTAGTAAAATATTGCGTATATGCCACACAATTAGCCAGTGAGACCACCAGTATCTGCGACAGTTGCAGAAACAGAGAATACTAAAATATATAACATTGTAGTGGTGTTTAGATACTGACTCACAAAAGATCAACGGAATTACTTGTGTACTTGGAGTTGTCGTTCACACTGACGAAACAGTACTTATTAAACGAAAAGTGAATCGCCGCTGTAGCAGAAGAGCAAACCATTTTTGGGTGCTGGGGCTGTATGATAGAAGTCTTAGAAAAGGGCTAGAAGAACACTCCCCCCCCCCCCAAACAGAAGTACCGGTGTTTTAATACCAATAATACAACGACTAGTCCTCACAGGCACTACAATTTACACAGACGAATGGGATAGTTATTCGCAACTATCATTATTAGGCTATATTCATCATAAAGTCAATTTTTCTTCTGAATTAGTGAATCCTATAAGCGGCACTCATACAGATTCTACTGAAGGATACTGGGTTGATCTAAAATAACGTATTAGAATGGTAAATGGCTCCCGATATGATATGATATACAGCCACTTAGGTGAATTTTTGCATCGATATTGGTTTGATATGTCTATGGACACTCGTATGAGAGACTATGAACGATTTTTGCAACATACAAGAGATAAATACTCTGTATAATTCATTCTTATCACATACATATCTTATAAACACACTTTTTTAATACAATAAATGCCACTATTCACGCGGAATCTGATTGGTCGGCTCAAGGTCATTTGAAGCTTGGATCGGTGGATTGGGATGCAGTGACTGATTGACTGTCTGGCAATATGATCGTTTAGAAACATAGCAGCCTTGGCCACCATTCTTCAAGAGATCACTAAATCAATGAAGAGTGTGTGGAGAACGTAAATATGATTTTATATAAATTTTTGTTCATAATAAGATTCCCTTCTATAAGGGTATCTGGTTTATTCTTTGTACGCACCAAATGTTTGTTTATCTTACATGCGCACTTCCTGGTCAATACAGTTTACCCTCTAACTGACACCAGTACATGATCAAACTTGCAATCAATCAGATCTCTACAAACTACCACTTGAAGACAACAAAAGAATGTCTGATATGCATTTCTGTAATTTAAGAATGAAACGTTCTACGTACAGCAAACTAGAAAGAAAAAATGTTATACTAAAAATCGAAGCATTATACAAAGGAATAATAAAAACACAACGACTTACCAACATCACCAGGTATACATCTTACTTGAATTGCCCATAAAACTTTATACTTTAATATAGATGAATTTTGACCAGAGATAGCATCATCTTCAATATTTTCAATTTGTTCATTAATTACATGCAACCAATGAGATAGTTCACTTGTAACACTACTTGGATATGATGTCAGTGTAACTGAGGCTGCAGATGATGACAGACTTTGTATATAATTTTTTAATATATCTACAATTTCAAGCATATTTTCAACAGGATGTACTAATCCAACAATTTCTAAGATATCCGGCATTTGTGATCTAACTAACAATTTATCTTGTCCTAATTCTTTCATACTCAATGCATATGCAGTTGCCGGTGGAATGAATATCAGTAGGCGTTGAGTAAAACTATCTGTATGCGTAATCCAGAAATGATACACTAAAATTCAAAACAAAAAGAAAGAAAAAAAACAACAGTTATAATAAGTGGAAAAACAGTGAATTATATTACGTATTTATATTCATTCCTTTGTGTTTTGAATACAACACAGGGCTTCAAGCTTGTGTACTGTGAAGCTTCTGTGGCAGTGGTGTTGTTAGTCTTACGTTAAACCTCCCCTTCTTACAAGTCCTACTGTAACAACAGAAAACAACGGCCAGGAAACAGATCGTTTATTAAGGAAATCAACACATATTTATAGATTTTCATGTACATATCATAAACTATTGTTAGCAGATAAACACAGGCTTCTGATTGGTTGTTCCTCACAGAAAGTTAACCTTGCATATCTTTGTGACTGTTTCTTGAAGTTCAGATCATCTATTTGCTAAATGTATCCGCCTACGCAAAGTCTGTTGTGGTTGGTTGATGAATCAGCCTTTGTTCTTATATTTCTCACGACCCCAATATTGGGGACGTACACATTGGCGTAAATTACTGTCTACCACTTTTGGCTAGCAGCCACCTCTCACCACACTACTACCAGGAGCTAAGTGAAGTTTAGGAAAGCGTCGACAAGGAATCGGACGCCAGCATCCTTATTACCAAACCACTCACGTAAATATTAGACGTTAGTTAATAAGAAAATCTTTTGCAGAGACAAACTTTAGCAGAAAAATTAGAAAAAGAATAAGAATAGAGGACTTTTTTCTATAAACGATGGGGGCGATTAGGAGTTTATGTTGATGTGTTTTCTGAATCACAACTACACGAATCAGCTGAGACTATTTTGAATTTCGCGTCAAATGACTTTTACGCGACCAACATACTGGATCTCATTTGACATATCAAATCAAGAGGTGGTTTTTTCAATCGACAGCTTGGTGGATACGACTCAAGCGCTTGAAACGATAAACGCTCGGTCCGGCTCCCAGTGGAGACGCCATCGCTCACTGGGATCCAGGCACATCCAATCGATGAGTTTTATATACACGACGAGACGCAAGTTCTGGAATCCACTGCTACCCAACATCAACCAAAAAAACGACGTGTGAACGAATTGAGAATGAAAAGGGAAGACGTTCAGCGAAGAGACTCTTTTCAGCGAATTCATTCACATAGCTATACAATCGCATTTATATATAATTATTGTGTGTGTGTGTGTGTACATGAGGTTTGTCAAGTTTAGATAATTAATCAGGTAATACAAGAATGATCTAATACAGAAACAACGGTAATTAGACGACAACTAAAGTAAGATTGAGTTAGTAAGTTAGATGACGTAATATAATTGACTAAAATGTTTCAACCTAGGTCATGATAGCAACAGAGGTAATTACAGGTATAGACTAAGTAGAGGTGGGGTAGAGAATAATGTCATTTAAATTAGAACTAAAATTGAGCATGACCTATTCATTTTTAAGTTACACTCAGATATTTATGTGATGTCAACTAATAAATCCAAAGAACGCATTTGTTTAAAAAGACTTACAATTTCTAGAAGTAGATGACTGACTGTCATCTTGAGATTTTAACGCTGGAGGTACAAGCACTTTTATGCCTGGCAACGGAAGTAATGATGTCTGGGCAATTACCGACGAATTTTCTTCTTGTTCAACACTTTTGGATGCATCACTTCTAACTAGTTGTAGAGTCATTCTTGTTTTAGGCAACAGTGTAAGAGCAATGGCATCAAAACTGAATGACCATGATGCAGGAGAGCGTACCACACACTGCCATTGAGTAGAAGCTGAATAAAAGGGAGACGATTGTGACAATGGTTCCAATTGAGTTGATAAAGATCGTTCTAAAGTGAATTTAGCCGACTGAGACTCCAAGATATTTTCCACTGTTTCATTATACTCCCAGAGTACTAAATGTGAAAGCCAATGTGGTAATAAACTTGGTCGATAGCTTGAATCCATGTGGAGCTCATCGTTTGTCTGCAGTCGAATTAAACATTTGAATGGAGCAGAGGCAGCGAATACTGAACTAGGAGCTTTAGGGTATGGGATATTGGTACTACTAAGGAAATTATGAAGTGTAATAACAGAGAGAAAAATAATGTCATAATCATATACAGAAAAAAAACTATTTGGTCACAATACAAACAACCTTATCAAAATATGAAGTGGTGAAATGGAAACAATATGAAGGTATGGATTTTGTGAGGTATCAGAATCAAACGAGCTTTAATTATTTTTTGGGACATATTTTAGTCTGAGCACTTCATAAATACCAAAGAGAAGTGATCAGATACAAGGGGACAGGTTGTGGTCCTCGCGAAGTTAGGAATAAATAGTTGGAGGCACTTGATACTATAGTTCAAGATTTTCTCACACTTGTACAGACACGTATATATCTACTCACCTTTAGCCTTTAATCGAAACCCGAAACTCTTCGCTAATCTGCAACGGATTATTTTCCCTTTCATATATCGCAATCCACTGTGTAATTTCATGAGAGTATTGCAAAGACAGCTCAAGTTATGTAGTCGAAAGTTCTGTATGAATTGAGGATCTTCAACACTTATGTCAAATCAGCGTTTTTATATGAAATCACCAAAAATACCCATTGAGTCATGTGCGTCGGTGGTACAGCGGTTAGGGCGCTCGCCGACCATGCACATAGTCGGGGAATCGATCCCCCGCCGACGCACTCCTTTACCTCGCTAAGCCAGAAATAATTCTGGTAAAGAGGAAAGGTTGGGCATGAGGCTAGCAACCTCATCCTGTAAAATAAACACACAGAAACTTCAAGCCACTAGCTTGAAGCCCTGTGTTCCACTGGGGAACGTGAAGGAAAAAAAGGAGACTAAATAGTTTCTATATGAATTAGGGAGTTGGCACGCACATCACAAAGGGCATTTCTAACAGCCTGCTGCAGACTTTTATCATCAGCTGTTTTCTCTAGTTCAGGTACTGACGATTTAATGACCAGTCAGAGAGGATAGGCAAGAAAGAAGTATGACAGTTATAGAATCAATAACAAACCTATCGCCCAACAAACATGCCGAAAGAGATACAGACGGATTGTATACACTCTGAGGCGACCTTTGAGTGACAGTACACGCTAGGCCCTAGAGTGCAATCTGAATGGGAAATGAGGAGTTAGGCATAGGTCTGAAGGTGACATGGAGGGAACAGAAAGCTTATGGACGATCGTGGAGCCAGCAAAAAAGGACTGTAGAGAACAGGATGATATGGAGATGTGCTGCGAAAGTCCTATATTCCACTCAAGGCCCTATATATATACATATATCATCAAAGTATATTCATAGACGATCCAAGTAGGGACGTTATGCATTCAGTGGTTTATTTCACTTCTTGAATTTGTGTACTAAATCTAGTAAGCTTACATCATAATGATTTATACAACACTCGAGTCAAAACCATGGGTTTGAATAATAATAATAGTACAGCATTTAACTTTCAATTCTGTCGTCCTCTGGGTGATCATTTGTGTCTAGTGCTTGGGAGTCTATAGATGGGATGAAACGGTATGCTAGTGTCAAATAGGTAATAATTTGTCCTGCATTATGAGGTGAATAACTTCTAAACTAATCTTAACCTAAATTCCAAAATCTTACTATAGCATCAGTAAAGTTTGGCTTATGTTCATTAGTTCCACAACTTAACTTATGTTGTGAACTTTTTTTATAGTACGTATCTAATCATATTCCTATCTCTACCGCTATTAACACGCTTTTTTTCCTTTATGCGTTTAAGCCATTCCGGCTTCATTGTAAACTGAATATAGCCTAAATTCTTGGTTCGTTCGTCTTTTCAAGATTTAAGCATCACTCATCGTTCTAAGGGCTCAGTCACCTTCGTAACAACTTCAACCGATAAAAATTATTTCACTAACAGAGCAAAATACAGACGAAATTAAATTGCCTTCGTCGGGAAGGGATATTGAAGTTAAAACAAACCTTTCTTTAGTTGGTAATTGAACAAGAAAACGTAGCATAGATGAAAATGATTCACCACGTGATCGACGATCAATACCAATAGGAAATGTGATCGGTTCACTTTGTGGAATACTAATCCCGGTATCAACAAGTATTAAACTTGAAGATGGCATACCAAATGAATACACTTCTAAAGGAACAACTGGCAATTTGATAAGATAGGTGAGTGGATTTAATCTAGTATTAAAATAAGTGGAATTTTTCAATGTTTCATCCTGTTGACTGTCTTTTATTGAAGGTGTAAGACTGTAAGTTAATATTCCTTGTCCAGAATGACGTGCTAATATTAACTGTTCTGAAGAATCAATCCATAGGATAGACGGATCCACAGAAGACCAAGTATCCTCTAAAATAGAAAAGAAAAAGAAATAAAAACATCAGTGACAACGACTGACTGACTGGTTTTAGTGTAGAAGTTTGCACTGATGTGCAGCAGTTCGAGTCTCCACACTCCATGTAGCACATGAAGCAAGAAAAGAAAGTAAAAAGAGATGCAAATTAGAGACAGTAAACACAGATATGAGACAAAAAATAGTAATATGAAAGAATCATATAATTTTATTGGATATTATAAGTCACAAGGAGTGAATGCATCTGCACTAGCTATTGAAAACGATTTTGAGCCATATCACCAATTCTCTTCAGCCTTCTTCGGTTTTTACCATCCCAAGGACCCCTACCACGAAGTCTACACCTTCCTACGTAGCTGACTGGTTTAAACTAACTGTTGTGGATTTCACTGATTGGTGAAGCCATGTTTTGATTTGACCAGCACTGGTTCTTTTCCAACCTCACCCTCTGTCCAGGAAGGCGATGCTTCGGCATGCGTAGCATGTGTCCTAATCATCTCAATCGGTGTAACTTCACAGCCTCGTCGACTGACTCCCCCTCCTACCTACCTAGCACTCGACGCCTAAACTCAATGTGGGTCACCTTATTATACCACTTAACACGGGAGATAGAGTGCAGACACCTATAATGAAAGACAGCTAGCCAACCTTTTCGTATCTTCCACTTTCATGTCTCACCGACAACCGTAAAGGAGGACGGAGGGGACTGCTGAACAGTACACCCGCTCTTTGGTCGATAGCAGGAAAAATAATATAGTTTACCGAATTCCAACCATGTAGTGACTGGAGATAAAAGTAGTGAGATTTTATAACGCATAGATAAATCGCACTACTGATTACAAAAAATAAGTAGCTAGAAATTGACAGAATAATTATTTGGAACTGACGATAAGTTATCTGAACTAAATCATTTGTGTGCAAAAAAAACAAAACAATTAATAAACTCATATGAACTAACCTAAACTCGATGAAGTGGATAACTTTGGCAGACAAATCCATTGACCTTCAACTAAAGATGTTAAACCAAGAAGATCAAGTGAATTAGTATGCGGTAGGCTTAAATAACTCGGAGATAAGCCAACAATTTTATTCGATAGTGTTATATGCATAACAGTCCAATGGGGATTCTTTTCAGGTTGATTCTTTTTTGTACTTTGAATTAAGTCAATATCATCAATTGCAGAAGACATAGGTGAAGAGTGAATACTCATGCCAAAAGACGCGGCACTTCGGGTGGCTGTATTGTATGCATTATCCGTAAGGAAATATTCCTCAGTCACGAAATCACGTATAAATTGAGCAGAAAATAGATCTGATCGATGAAGCGATGTTTTCAATTGATGGAAGTCATCTAAAAAAGTAAACAGTGGAAATTTATAAATAAAAAGATGAAGTGATTATTACACATATACCTGAAAAGTTAACCAGTAAAATAATACACGACAAAAATCGATGAAAAACTAATAGTGGTTTGAACGTGAACACAAGCATTCCAAAATGTTATCTCCTACACAATTTATAGATTGTGCTGCTCAACAAAGGAAAACCATACCTTTCAATCACTGTTTACAATTATTTGAAGTGCATTTTATGAGGACTAGTGTGTTGTAAAAGCTGATAGTTATATTGAAAGAAAATCAATTCTTAGGGCTGAAAAGTACACTAAAGTTGAAAAGGACACTAGGATAGATTTGTATATAAAGCGTTGGACAACTGAGAATATTTCACAGCGCAAAATGACCCCATACTTGAATGTGATTCATTAGCTCACGAACAGACTTTCAGCTGAAGCGCCCCAGATTTGAATCCCTCTCTGCCTACTTCAACCAGGGTAATTGGGTAGTATGGCCAGCTATCACGTCATACGAGTGGATAATAAATAGCCTGGTAAATCGAAAATCTGATCCAAGAGACTGAGCCCTAACAACAACACCACTAAATAAACGAATTTTTCTGAGCACCCTGTTTTACAGACCAATTATTTTTTATTTATCATTATATTCTTTTAGGTTCCTATTGGAACATAGGGCTTCAGGTTAGAGGCTTGAAGTTTCGGTAGCAGTGGTGTTCTTTTACGGAACTGGGTTTCTAGTCTCATGTCTAACTTCCCCTCCTTTACCAGTCTTATTACTGGCTTAGCGAGGTAAAGGAGCGCGTCAGCCGAGGATGAACCCCGGACCACACACGTGGTTTGCAAGCATTCTACCTCTGTACCAGCAGAAATGAATAACAACACTGAACAACGTTGGTATGGTCCTTGAAATATGGATATAATCACTGAAACCGAAGACTATTCGCACACAAATGAATTATCGATTTTCTATCTTTGTGATACTGATAATTTACTACTAGAGACGACTCATTGACTTAAACAGTCAGTTTTCAGAGAATAGGCCCGAGGTTCGAATCCCCACCAACCTACTTCAGCCTGGGCAACTGGATAGTATCATTAGCACACACACACACACACACATACAGACTGTGAGTCATATCCTGATACATGAGTATAGGCTCCAGGCAAAGCTTTAATAAAAAGCTAATATGAATAGGAGCAAAAATTTCTAAATATGTGAAACCTTTGAGCTTCAACTTGCCTGAAACAGCGTCGAATAAGCGTCCTAATTCATCATGATATTTTATTTCTAATTTATACGGTCCACCGACTGGCAGACCCTTGATCTTTGATGACTTATCACTTTGTGGAATAAAAACACGTGGTGTAGTAAACATCATATAACGTGGCAATTTAACATAAACATTTAAGATTAATGTTTGTTTTAATGAAGTTTGAAAATCGTGTGATTGTTTCAAATTTAATAAATTTCCATTTGGTATTGATTCGATTTGAAGTGTCATTTGACATATTGATCCAATATTTGAACATTTATCATTCACACGTAGAATACCATCTGAAGTGACAGTAACTATCTCATCTGTACGAGCTAGTGATATATTCGTGTAGTGTGAAAGAATGGAAACTTTATAGCGTAGAATACTGTCTGAACGTCTGAAAGAAATAAAAAAAGAAGAAAAATGATGTTTTTGGGATTTAGAGGATAAGATAAAATGCGTGTTACAAGACACAAACATACACAGGCTTGGAGTCGTTTATTTTTGATGCTGATGAAATGTTAGAAATGGTGGACACAGTCATTGATATGCAATAGACAGAAAATGCCATCCTTTTGTGTTAAACACACCCATCCACCATCACAGTACAACTAACTCATCGGCTCAAGTATTTAGTTCCAGTTGGCGAGTGTCAAGTTCAAATCCTACTCAACAACTTCAGAGGAGTCCTTTATGCTTCAAAGGTATGCTGTATTCAATGTTAAAGATACAACGACTAACAGGTCATTTTTATGAATTGTGCGTGGCTGATCTTTGAGAACATTCATATAAATGCTAATTAATCAGTTAAAAGATAACTTACACATCAGTCCATGGAATTAAATTCAATTGTGAATTCGGTGATAAAATGATTTGTTGCGGTTCACGAGGTGGTGAATTCAATCCAAGTCGTGATAGAATAACAATTGTCAGTTGAGCATGCAAACGATCCGTTGATACACTGTCAGTAGATACTGCATTTATCTGCTTTGCACTAGGATCAGTAGGCTCAACTGTCAAATGAACAGTCACAGTACCAGGTTTCAGACCGACAAGAATCATTCCAGCTGCTGAGTGATTCTAAATAACAACAACAGGATAGAAAATATGACAAATAATGTGTAGTAGTAGTAGTGTGGTGAGAGCTGGCTGCTAGCCAAAATTGGTAGACGTCAATGTTTACATCCTCACTATTGGTCGTGAGAAAAATAAGAACAAAGGCTGATTCAACAACCAGTCACAGCAGGCTGCGTAGGTGGATACAATTTACAGATAGATAACCGGAACTTCAAGAAACGGCCACAAGGAGATGAAAGATTAACGTTCAGCGAGAAACCACCAATCAGAAGACTGTGTTTTTCTGCTAACAATAATCTATAATAATGTACATGAAAATCCATAAATATCTGTTGATTTCCTTAATAATCGATCTGTTGCCTGGTCTTTGTCTTCTGTTGTTACAGTAGCAGAAGTTCTTAGCTCAGTACAAAAGTCATAATTGTTTATAATCGTGATTATCTCAACGTAATACAGGAAATTCACCTATCAATGGATGTCATAGTTATACAATATTAGAAAAGTTCTGACTCTGAAACTGTTGCCTACAGAATGTTTTATAGAAATGGTCGTGGAAACATGGTTCTAGAATCATGAATCGAGAGGTCACCACCACCACCACTAAGATTTCAAGGTAATAGTAATACTATAAAATGCTGGTTAGAAAGTACCCTCGCTACTAACGTCATTTTGAGGAAGTACGCCCAGTGATATTGTGACAACTATCTACAATGAGAGACGAGAATTGATAGATATAATGGTTAGTGTTTATACGGATTTACTTTTACTTCGTTGTTTATCTTGTCCTCAGCCAGCTTAATAGGTGTTTTGTGTGAGTGGTTAGTTTTCGTGAACTGACAACTATTGCCTTGCAGCATAGAGTTGATCACAGATTTCGTCTGTTACGTCGATTGATTTCTTTCTTCTGGAGACGGTTACTGAATCTGATATGGATGCTGGGCTTTTCAGTACTTCACTTTTCGTAAATCACTCAAGCATAGACCGCGAACTGATCTAGCTAGACACCGATCAAATTCTTGCAAACCAACACTTGAAAATGAATCACTCAGTTAATTCAAGACCCAAAAAGCTTGACGTATATTCGTCCTGTAGTTTCAATTACTCTTTTCGATCTCTGTTTGATATCATCTTGCTTGTAGACGTTTCTTCGTTAAGCATACCAAAAGAGCTTCATGATACATCTTAATGGACTCAACTATATTCATCAAGTTTTGGAGAGCTAAGGTGATAACCATGCCACAGCTGATAATATCAGTCCTCACAAGACCGACACGGACAGTACCAATGCCATCTATTTTGTAAATAATAATAATAATAACAGCTTTATTCCAAACAGTATTTGTGGTACAGGTATGGAATTTTCAGCGTGCATTACAGTATATTGCATCTAATTACCTCATAAATTATATAAGATTTTTAAAAATCAAAGATAAATACATAAAAATAAAATAAATAAGTTATAAATAAATAAAACAAATAAATATTAAAAATTAAGAAAAAAAACAGCGTAGAGTATTTCATTTCAAACAATGCAACACAGGATTTGAAATATAAAGTTGATGTGTGGTAGTAGATGAGAACAACAGTGTAGTAGTAACGAGGAAAGGAAAAGAAAACCTAATGAGACTATTTGTTAGAGTGCTGCAGTAAGTTTATCGTGTCATACCTAACACCTTGTACTAACGATAAGATGGGTTTGCTTGTGGGTCTTGGTGGTGAGTTCATCTTACCGACAGCGTCCAAAAGAATGAAACCAGTCTCACTCTTCCTTTTTGTCCTTTTCCACTCATCTGTGATATAACGTTCATGATCAGTCTTCAGCTTGTTCAACACTCAAGCTCACTTGAAAGAACTCTTAACCACTGCAGCAGCTTCCTTCTCATACTTTTCGATGGTACGTTTATCAATGACACCAAGATTAGAGATAAGATGTTCACTAGTGGTAGACTTTCAACTATTCACGTCTCCAATAACAACAGTATTGATATGCTTTTTACCACTGGGCATTTCGACAACACGAACCAAGAGACGCACCAGGAAATGCCGTGTAACTGAGATCAAACAATAATCCTTTCGAAAAATCCTTCAAAGTAATATACAAGATTCAACCAAACCTATCAAAGGGAGTGAAATCAAGACATCTGGGCATAGCCGAGGTGCTAGCTATACAAAAGCTCAAACCCACGCTTTGTATCCAAAAGAAATACGTCCAACCCCTGTCCGTGCCATGGCCATCATAAACAGGTAATTTTTTAGTAATGACCTTCCTATCGCCTCTCTTATCTAAACTTCCTGTTTATTCATGTTATTTTAAGTTTTTCTTAATCCCTGTTTACACTACTATATTTTCATACCCGAACTTCGTGTTTATTTCGTCATTTTACTATTTCTACATATCTAATCCCTGATTGCATAAACAATTATTCATCACATTAGTTTTTATCCAAACATTCTGTCTATTTTGTTATTTCTACATTTCTAACTCTTAATTGCACAATGTCAATCTTCTTAGTTATTATGATGCTACTTCGTTTGTTTTATACATCCCCCTGTTTATTATGGCATTCTGATTCCTAATTTTAATTTCTATTAGTTTGACCCTTAACCGGAAATTATTCTGGAACTTTCCCATCCATTTGACATATATACACGAATGTACAGCTGTCTAGTTGATGACTTCGTCGAAAAGAAAATTTTCTTCGCTGCAACTGTCTTCTTAATAACTCCTATGACCCAATGTGTATATTCTGTGAATCGTTCATATACTTGATGCAACCAGTAAACTGAACCAAAATATAAATGGATAAGTTCAGTGGAAATGTGCGGAAAGAAAGCTTCCCTTAAAATAATCTTATTCTGATGTATATCCATGTATAGTCCCTCAGACTGGGTTGAGATATTCAAAAAACCAATGAAATTTATTTGTTAAAAAAAAGTCTCATCTTTTATTGCTTACCTCATCTGCATCAATACCAAACCGATTAAGCCAGTATTCTAAGCGAGCCACAGAACTTGGCTCAGGTGGATTTAAGTGCCATCGAAAGCGTAATGGAGGAAAAACGGCAGCCATTCCCAAAGGAGAAACTAAATTTGAGTTTGACTGATCTTCAGAATAATAAGGACTATGTGCTAAACCTTCGGCCCACAAAGGTGTTGACCCACAGTCGTTAGTTCGTCCAGGTGGGCAGGATAGAAGAAAATGCCTATCTGATTCACCTGAGTTAGACAACTCTTGGACGTGGATACTTGAATGGTCATGAATTTGAGAGATTACCTCATTCATGTTGGCGAGTGGACATCCAATACGTACACCAGATAAGGCTACGACATGAATACTGCATACCGTCTGAAATGAAAATTTTGGTAATTTTAGTTGTACATTAAAGTATCAATAAGCAAAAAGTAAATTTACAGATTCGACGGCAGCATACCTCTGAATAGATTACATAATCATCATGTTTTCCAGAATACTTTCCACCGGAAATACCCACTGCTCGAGCACGAATAGTAGCCAAACCCAAGGATTCAGATGCTCGTATCAAGACACTAGTAGGATTTGATTTAACAATGGTTATACGACCTGAGGCAGACTCAGGGATGAATTCTAGTGAAGCTTGACTAGGACCACCCACTGCATGAAGTTCATATTCAGCGCCCAAGAGAAGATTAAAGTTACACGGAGTTAAACGAAGCGGTGCAAACACCTGTAAGAAAATAATAAATAATCATTAGTAATTTACGACATGTTGAGGACATTTTATGATAAAAAAAGTATAGTATAAAGCTCACCTGGATCTCAACGATGTTACTTTGGACAGTGATTGGTTTATTCCGTGATAATCTGGGAATAACAGATGTTACCATCAGCTGAGAAGTACCTAGAGCTAAACCACGAACACTGAATTGACCTGAACAAGGTGCTTCAAGACTTGAAGAATTGAAAATCCAGAATGATTCAGATGACACATCAGTGTCCGGTACACCAAGTATCTTTTTTGAGTCATGCGATTCCTTGTGACCAGATTTTGAGTAAACCAAACGATCATTAACAATTGATAATTTCAACAAACGTGCAAACTTCGCTGGTAATACATGTCCATCTGTACCTGTTGCTTCTATAGATGCTGTAACCTAGAATGTAAAATCAGTAATAAATTAAAATTCTGATTATCAAGAAAGACAACAAGATTGCTCATTGCATTATCTAATTATATACTACAGAAAAAACAAACGTCTTATATGCAGGAAATCGTATGATTATTGCTAATACATTTGAGCTTTTGTCGGGAAAAAGACAACAGTTTTTTTGATAGGATACAAGAGTGGGTATATTTCAGAAGGCATGTGAATTTTAGCTCTACAGGATGTGTGAGTAGCACTACAGACCGTCTATTCAAGTATATTTATCCCGAAACGAGGTGCTATACACCTCGCCTGGAATGATTGAAACATGCTTATACTCCACTAAGTGAAGAATGATACTATGCAGAGGTTGTCATAGTTAACATTTAATATGAAAACGGCTTTCCAGGAATTGACGGAGATTAGTTATGCTTAGTTTTTGCAAAAGGTTTACGGGGAAACAAATATGAAAATCAATTGGTTGGTGGTGACTAGCAGTGGAATCCAGAATGCTTATTTCTTCCTATTTGGAACTCGTCAGATGAATGTACCTGAGCTCCACAGTGAGTGATCCTGTTCCCACCGAGGCTCAAACCCAGTGGCCATAGTTTCAAACACCAGAATTGAACTATATGTGAAAATGTTTGTAAAAGTAGTTTATCATTGTTCTATGAAGACCAAGGAATTGAACATCATTACTCTGAGAGACAAGTTGACTGTGTATTCAAAAAAATGATATACTGTTTCCTAATTTATGATATATGCTTTCATACGTAAGCAGAATAAGATTTGTAACTGTGTATTTCATTTCACGCGGTTATTTATACACATATCATTCGAATCGATAGCTTAGTGAGTTGGGTAGTTCATTTCATAATCGATGAAATAAGCATGCCAACACTACTCCACTCACAGAAATTTGGGCAATCAGTTTGTATCACCAGTCCCTTCAACGTAGAAAAACCTACTTGTTAAGTTAGAACTTAGTTAAGCCAAATATATCTCTTATGTACAAGACTACGAGCCAAGCTTATTACATGAAGATTGATGGTACCATTCAGTCACTCAGGTTGAATTATTTTGGATAAGGAGCTGAATCATCGACCCTTAGACTCAAAGTCACATTCCCACTCATTTATAAGTGCGCGACGATATATATGACCGACTAGTGACCTCCAGCTTAATTACATACACGCTTCCTTATCAAGTGTGTGCGTTGGTGGCACAGCGGTTAGGACGCTCGCCGACCATGCACATGGTCCGGGGTTCGATCGCCGGCCGACACACTTCTTTGCCTCGCTAAGCCAAAAATAATGCTGGTAAAGAGGAAAGGTTGGACATGAGGCTAGTAACCCCATTCTGTAAAAAATAAACACTGCTACAGAAACTTCAAGCAGCTAGCTTGAAGCCCTATGTTCCACTGGGAATGTGAAAGAAAAATATAAAATATTCCTTATCAAGTACTCTGTGGGTAAATTGTAAGATGATGTTGAAAGCTCTAGAACAGAGAGCATTAGAACCATCAAGACAAGCCATTCTATAAAACAAAATAATTCACAAGTAAACTATTAATACACATTTCATATTTTGTTTCCTGCATGAAGAGAAAAACTTCATTTGAATGTTAACATGATTATTACAATCAAAGCTAATATACACATAAATGTTCACGAAACCCATATGCAACTAGGGACTGATGAAGCCAACCAAATAAAGTCAGTGACGAGAAATCCCGACTATAAACACGTAAAATACGGAATGATATTCACTGAACAAGAGGAGGCCACTATGGCTCAATAACCTACTGGATTACGTCTTTTTTTTGTATTTGAAACTGTGCAGTCTATCTGGCGACACCATAATTTCTGAATACAGACACGTTCAACTGAAAAGTCTAAAACAGAAGGAAGAGCTCATCCTGAACACTGAACGCTGACTAATAAAGTCTGTATTAATTTGATTTTTTGATTTTTGATTTACAGCTTGATTCCACACTGTATTTTTGGTACAAGTATGGAATTTTCAGCGTGGATTGCATGCGATGAACTAGTGAGAACTTAACAATTTCTCTTCCCAACTTAAGCAGTGACGAAGTGAATTAAACAGATCGTTGAGAATGTGTGTATAAACAACCATAACGTTTGACGTTCATAAACGACAACAATTGGATCCTAATATCATCAGATGAGAGTAGAACAATTAAGAAGCATGCGAGTAGACAAAGTACAACTTAAACAATGCTCTTGTACAGTCAATCATTAGGAACAAACGGCATTATTTAGAAAGTTTTGAAAAAATACAATAAATCATCGAATTTCACATTACATAATTAGTAATACAAATGAAAACAAACCTCATCTCCAAGCTGGATTCGATCAATAACTCGAAGATTAATAGCACTCAAACCGATTACATCTACACTGAATTCAGTTTTAGCTGGATTGAAATAATTTTCAGTCAGTTGACTTGATTTCGATAAGGCTGGAAAACACAAATCAACTGCTTCGATTATTGCATGTCCAACATTTTGTGGTTGTATTTTATACGTTCGCTGGGGTATTATGTAGGAAGTAGTACGATCGGTCATTCTATTTGGTTCATTGAATTGTTCAGTTATACGAAGTGGATGATGATGTGGGTCGTTAAGATCTCCTGAACCTTCTAAATAATAGTGACCAGATCCACCATGAATGTGAGCAGATGATGTTGCCTAAAACAATACATAATAACACAACGTTGTGAAAAATTAATTTCTAATTTTTAATTTATTAAGATAATTTATCCATATTTATTTTTCATCACATTGAAAAACGAAATGTGAAATCAACTTACATCTGGATGATAAAATAATAACAGTGACTGAGCCGGAACCACATGAACCATAGGACTTAAGTAGGCATTCAAAACCGATTGTAAACTCTGAATACCAGACAAGAAGGGGACATATTTATGCGGTGAACTTGACTGAATTGTAACCTGGATTGAAAGATCACCGGAGGAATGACCGAAATCAGCTGGTGTAATAAAAAAGCGAGGTCTTGGATGCATAGGATGTGACAAAGATCCTTTATCACTAGAAAAGAGATATAAAAAAACAAACAAATGAATTGAGAAAAAGTTTATTTATTTATTTGATATACCATAAGAAATCAGTACTTCTGGTATATTGAGTAACTGGCTGGTCTAGATGACTCTTGCTGAATGCTATATTCCTAATATGCCTTTAACGGGACTAACTGGTTAGACAAGCCGCACGTGCAAAGTGATCAGTCAGCTACGTAAGAAGATGTAGGCTTCCTGGCTGATTGTGGTCCTCGGGTTGGTAAACACCAATGGCCTGAGACAATTGGTGATATAACTCAAAATCGTTTTCAATGGCTGGCGCAGATGCATTCACTCTTTGTGACTTATAATATCCAATAAAACTATACGGTTCTTCCATATTACTATTATTTTTGCCTCATATCTCTGTTTATTATCTCTGTCTTGCATCTTTTTTTACTTTCTTCTCTTACTTCGTGTGCTACATGGAGTGTGGAGACTCGAACTGCTGCACATCGGTGCAAAGTTCTATGCTGAAACTTAGTTAGTCAGTCAGCTACTAACTGACTGGTTTCAACGCAGAACTTTGCACCGATGTGCAACAGTCCAAGTTGCCAAGCACCATACAAAGATAGAGAAAAGAAAGAAGTTCAAAAGAACTAAAGAGAGCAGAAATATGCAGGAGAAGAAATAGTAGCATGGAAAAACATTAGGGGTTAATGGGTATGGTATGTCGCAGTGACTGAATGAATCTGCGCCATTGGCAGCAAATTTGAGCCATACCATCAATACTCTCCTCCAGCCATAGGTTCGTAGAATCCTGAGGGCCCCACAGCCAAGCAGTGTACACCTACCTACGTGGCTAAAACCAAGAGTCAAACACTTCGTGGATTGATCACAAGTTTTGGTTTGACCACCCTTTAGTCCTTCCCAAGCTAATCTTGTGTCAGCTAATATTGCTTGTCGGAGAAGGTGGTGGGTTGGCATGCATAACACATTTCCTAACCATCTCTCAACTGATATGATTTCACAACCTCATCAATTAACTTAACCTACTTACCTAACACTAGACACCTAGCCTCAATACTGATCACTATATTGTATCACTTAACACAAGAGACAGGTACTGTAGTAATGATAGTGTTAGAACTGTAGTTCAGTAGATTAGATACTCAACTCTTAACCGCATATCGAACCTGAGGGAGCTACTAGGAAACGTCTGAATCACGCTGTTAAATACTTACATATACAGATTTATGAATAGCAGTTACTCTGACTGAATCTCTAACTAGATATCTCCTTGTTTGTGGATATCTAAGCAGTTAGGAAATTCTTTAAGAAATAACCAGTCCTACTGAAAAAAATGGAATTAACGAAAATTTATTAAGAGTAGAAGTAAAATGCAACTAATATATCGAACTTATAGCGGAGTAAGCTTTACACAAATTTCCCTAAGCTTATAGACAGATAAGTTTTTGAGAGTTACTTTGTAGAGATTTGATTGGTTTCAAGTTTAATCAGGGATTGATATCAGTTGGGTAATCACTGAAAACTAGGGAGTGCTAGCTGAATGATAAACGACCTCGCCTCGTAACCTACTAGTGGTCTTGGGTTCGACCCCCAGCAGGGTCATAGGTGCTTATTGCTGAAGAATCCCCGATAAGATAATGAAGAATTAACTGCTTGTTTATTTTTACTATTTGGGACAATCATGCATCATGAAGCATATCTGTAATGCAATTCAGAGGGAATAAAACTTCAATTTATAAGATTCGGAAGAGAATGTATACTCCGTTAAAAGGAAATAAATCTCATACAGACTATGAACTTACTAGTTGAAGTTGTTATGATAAACGGGAGGATTAAAATTTTGAACTATTTGTTGCTTTTGTTTAGTGGTGGTTGCACTTTTAGCTGTAGAAATCACTACATTGAATAGAAATGAGTCAACTGATTCTAATTCTTGATTTTCTGATCCGAACAGAACTAGACTAACAGCAGTTGGTATAGTATTTGGTAAAATTAACTGACAAAAAAAGATATAAAAGGAAATACCAATTATGGTATCATAGTAAATATGCATTTAGTTATAAACACATCTGTGTAAATGTATTATAATTATTATTCCCTTTAATTCCCAGAGGAACATATAGCTTCAACCATGCAACTCCATCGCGTTCGGCTCTCTGCTAGAGTTTTCACCTGACTCCAAGTCTGCCCACATGTTTTCATCTCCTCTTCACATCACCTCTTCCCTCATGACACTCTTGCACTGACGACCTATTCGCCGCTTCCATTTTGGGTTCCACTCAGGCAATGGTTTGTCTAGTGATGTCACTCACTTGATGGTTTGTTATCTCAGAGTATGGCCAATCCATCTCCATTTCTTCTTGCAGATTTGTTGCACAATCGGTTCCTGGTTGGTTCGCTCATTGCCAGAGATCCCTGTTGCTGATCTTTTCTGGCCAGCCATCTGATCTTGAGTATTGAGCGAAGACAACTGTTAATGAAGGTTTGTAGTTTGTTTGAGATGCTCTTTATGACACATCAAGTCTCTCATCTATATATTAAGTAGCACTGACTGACTTCACATTGGAGTTGAAAATCCGGATGTTATTTTTCACGCTGTGGAGTGCTGTTGACCTTCCCACAGACTTGAGAGTAATGATAGCTTGCCTTGCTTTCCCGATCCTCGTTGCTTTGATATCCTCTTCAGTTCCGTCGGCCTGTAGTTGAAACGATCCTTCCCAGGTAGGTGGGTAGGTGAAGGAGGTTGTTTCTTTCAGGTTCCTCCCATATATGCTGGGTGATTGTTTTCTGTCGTTGTTGTTGGCCTGGAATCTTCATCACCTCTGTTTTCTCTATGTTCACACGAAGTCCTATCTTCTCTGGATGCTTCTTCCACCAACTTGTTGCTTTTCATTTACATATCTTCCAGTTTGTGAGAAATAAGACATATATCATCGGCGAAGTCCAGATCCTCCAAGTTTTTTGTGTGGGTCCATCTTATGCCTGTTTCCTCGTTGCCCGCTATCTCATTATCCAATCTACTACAATCAGGAAAATCAATGGGGATAATAGGCAGACAGCTTGTCTTACTCCCGTCTTCACTTGGAAGGCTTCCGTAATTTTCCCGTTGTGGATTATTTGGCATGCACCATTGTCGTACAACTGTTGGATGAGATGTATAATTGTCGGCGGCATCCCATAGTAGCGAAGTAGTTGCCAAATCACCTCTCGATCGACGCTGCCGGAGGCCTCTTCAAAGTCGATGAAGTTGAGATAGAGAGGTGACTGCGTAAATGTACTAAGGACAATATTCATATTGCAATCAAACGCCTTATTCATGAAAACACGGGAGGCATGAGTCGTGTAGTCACTAGAGTAAAGATTGTTCATTCGCAAAAATTCCACTTGTAATGACACCAGCATATGAGGAGTCGAAAAAGGTGACGTTGTGCAATAAGGTGGGAGTATCAGCATAGAGACTTTCATAGTGGAGCATCAGTTTAAGTTGGTGGTACTACAATGCACAAAGATGTGTAAAAAGCAGAATAACCGAATTGAGAGTGAGGATATTCACCATTCCGATTATTGGGAGACATACATACGCTCCATTGTGAACGTTTTTGAGCCATCTCTGCATATGCTGGTTTTTAGAATCCTGTGGACTACAAGCTAGAAACCTACCTAAGTAGCTCATTGGCTTCAACACTTGGTTTAGACAACCAGTTTGAACCACGACGTCTCAACTACTTTAGTCTGAGTGACTTGGTAGTACACTCACTCATGCTCACAACAAATGTAACAAATAACCTGGTATATGGAAAATCTGTTTTAAACAACCAAGTTTTAGATGAATACCAAGCTAACCTACATGGTTCAGACCAGAAGTCAATGAGTAAGTGATTTATTTCATGTTTTGGTCTGATCACACTTCACTAACCTCTAACCTAATTCTACTTCAGTCAGTATAGATCGTGAAAGAAGACGGCGTCGTGACATGTACCACAAACATTCCAGTCATTTTAGTCTATTAGTCATCAGCTAACTCTTACCCAAAGTTAAGTCTGATTTCAACAATACTCACAATGTTATTCCACATGATCTGAAAAATTGAATTAAGAAACCTAAAGTCGAAAATCTTATATTTATGAAATACAAATGGAAGACAGAAAGTTCCCGACAGACATTCCGAAATCTCACCTATCTTGCTAGCCAATAATAAGCCTGGGAAATAGAGAAAGTTGGGAGTTAGGCTAGCAACACAAACCTATAAAAAACAATACCACTATTGAAACTCTAAAGCTTGAAGCCATATGTTCTACTCCGAATGTAAGGAATAGAAAAACTAGTTAGGAATGATTAGCATTCTCAACTTAAATATAAAAAAAGAAACACAGTGTAGGCCACACTACCACTTACTTTATCATGAGACCAGTCAGCAGACGATGTGTTGACTAATGGGCAAGGTGGATAATGCGAAGGAAGCAAGGGAAGCTGGAACAAGGGTATCAACTGAAGACTGACTGCAACGTCACACATTATCCTGTGATGATAAGGAAAAGGCAAAAACACAAGCGTAAAACACTGCAAACACTGCATGTTATAATTTCTAATCAAAACGGATAACTAATTCAACAATAAGGTAACCTTTTCTACTCAGACGGTTGTGTTTAGGAGGTGACTAAGTAATCTAAAGCAAAAATTCAAAGTTCCCAACTTTACCACGATTGTTTTCAGCTGCGAACACAATAACCAAGAAAGACTAAAACTTAAAAAATTTTCGCCAAAGATCACTTTGAGAATAGATCTGTTTCACCTTGTCAAATAATCTATCTTTTCCAGAATCAACATTAATGTGCGTCGGTGGCACAGTGGTTAGGACTCTCGCCGACCATCCACATGGTCCGAGGTTCGATCCCCTGCCGACGCACACCTGATATCTATAGTCGGCCTGCAAAATTTGGGCTACCGATATCCATGCTGAAAATTTCATACTTGTACCAAAAATATAGTGTGGAATCAAGCTGTAGTCAAATGAAAATATCACTCGAAAAAATTAAGTCTGAGGGAGTAGATAATACAATCAGCCATCACACAATAAGTGTGTCTCATAGCCTAGTAAATGACCAATGTGTTCCCGTGAGTCAATTTCTAACAAACCACATATATACAGGGAGCGACCGAACGAAACAGAAAGACTTTATTGAGATTTTCGTAGATTACTTATACCTCTATAAATACATGACTACTAAAATACAAATAAGAACTAATTTAAAAAATTCATGTTTCTGTATAGGAGGATTACGGTAGGAAAAAGACAATCATACATAGATTTATTCTAACCTTATTTAGGAAACAAAAGCATTTTCCTATAGAGAGTGGTTTTATGCAGCAGGATGTTGGATATTTGTCTCCGAATTTAGCTATTTGTTGCTTCATAGAGGATACGGTAAAAGGTATACGTGTTCATTTCAGCATATTAGAAGGGGTGTACATTTATGGTGAAATATATGGACAAATAAGTATTATTAGAGTTACTATTGATTACAATTTCATTGTGGTATATGGACATGGAAACAATTACCTCAAAAATAATTTACAATTCTGTTAAACTGATAGATTAAATTATTCACAAGTGTAAATAAGTGAATATATGATTAATTTTTATTTCCTAAGGTTCTATTTTAAGCGTGCGATAATCGACTACCCAACCAATAACCGTTACCTTGACGTGGTGGTCGGGGACACACATCGCAATGACCCAACGAGTTACACTAGCTGGAATAAATGTTTCTGCGGTTTCTACTGTGTCAGAAAAGTCGTTTGGATAGCGATTAGATTAAAAGCAATTGCTATAATAATATAAGTCGTTCATACTATATTGGGGGTCTGCAGGAGAATTAGTACTGCTGATGAGTAACTATTTAACGACTGTACGATGTTTCTCTCGGAAAGGGCTGACCTCGGAAACTATACATTCCGTTTTATCTTGCAGCTGTCCGTGGCTGGCAGTAAGGTAAGTAATACAGACACAATTACAAAAGCCAGCACAAACGGGTATCGCGTGACTGGCCTTAAATAATCCGCGGAGTTGTGTGGCCAAGCAACAATAATGCTCCTGTTTCAAATATTCCAAGAAGAAACCAAGTTACATGATATAGGTAGCCGGGAAGTAATAACCGCACACAAGGCTTTCCTGACCATCAGTCGCCTTCATCTCGATCCAGAAGTCAATACTCAACTAGTTATTTTATAGTTTAAAACTTCACTTAACCAAAAACATGTTTAATTATCTACAAACTGAAAAATAATTTTTAAAAAAAGTTGTTTTTGTCCTATTTTTTAAAGTCAGTGAATCACTATACAACAAGCTAAGCAGGACAGTAATGATGTAAACTCACGTGAATTTGGATGTCAAAACCATAGGATATAGATTAGTAGATGTAGGATGATTTCCAATTTCTACAACAAATTCAAACATTCCAATCCCTTCACATCGAAGACTGAAGGAAATTAAACGAGCTTGACTGTCGATCTGATCATTCATATAAGTATGAATAGGTGGCAGTCTAGTATCCTTTTCTTTAATATTACTACTTTTGTAGAAGTATGGTTCCTCAATTAATGTTGGAAGCGATGAAATATCATTATCTGAGTCAGGTTGAGCATAAACTTTGATATAATGTTCTGATGGTTGGAGTGACCAGGGTTGTGGTCCATGTGTTATCTACATTTTGAAAACAAAACCAAAATATGATTTTTTTAAAATACTGATTAAATAATCTAGAGGTTTTGTAAACCCACTGGATTCAGAAAAGTTTTCAAGAGCTGTATGTGATTGCACATAGTGCTGTGTCATGTTTTGCAGTTCCTTTCCTCTTCTTTTCTGAAGGATGTCCCTTCATTTATTGTTAAACATTTATTCTACGAACGGTATACTACCTAGATAACGTTGCTTTTCATGTGCACAGTTGCAGTTGCCTAGTTTTTCTAGTGAAACGGTAGAAGTTCTTCAGTAAGAAATGTGCACATTTTTATCGTTTTGGTTATGCTTATAATGGAGAAGATTTGTAGCTAAGTTGGATGATTTTGATGTAGTTGTGTTCTCAGAGCTGAATAGTTTTATGCTTAACACATATTTGTGTAGGTAGTTGGTCACTGCCTTGGATTAAAAAGTATAGCATCTGCCGTAAATGCTACTTTGTGAGTGATAATTCTATTCACCACTAAAATTTATCTACACTACTAGTGATGATGTGTTCAAATAACTCACTAAATACATTTTCAATAGCCTAGGTGAATAAGATAAATACTTACTAGCATACTTCGAGTTGAACCTAATGCAACAGAAGTGGTTTCAGATGCAGGATCAATGAAAGCGATTTTACGATAGGCTGCAACAGGAAAACGTGCAACAATAACAGAAGATTCATCCACTTTCCCAGATGATGATGATGGATTGTAAACGGCTTTGATTTCAGTGAAACCGACATTAACTCCAATCACATAGAAATGCAAACATTCAACCAAGTCAAATGATCCATAGTCAACAGATGAATTGGATCGTGGTGCATAAAAACCTGTAATATGAATATCACAAGAAAGTTTTTTTTTAATGTTTATGAATATCAATACAGAAATAGCATGTTGTTTGAGAGATTAATAGCCACTATTTCTTACAAGACATGAAGAGAATACACTGGTAAGTATACATTCATTTGCTTTTTTTCTAGTGTCTACACACTGAAATGTCTTAATTGACATGAACTGCCCTGTGTCCACTCTCGACAGTACATTTTGGCAGCTTTTCCCTGAATTGGAGAAGCTTGATAAGTTGAGCTAATTCTGTGCTTTGGATTTTACCTTGCGACACAAGGGTAAGCACATAGTAGTCGTTAAGAATATAAAGTATAATTATATTTCAATGGTTTCAACACAATGATGAGTTTTGTTTTTGGTAATATTTCGAACAAAATTACTGCCCCTATTCACATCACTGTACGAATTCTTTCGTTTATAATTCACACATTTATGATTTGTAATCATATATATATATATATATATATATATATATATATATATATATATATATATATATATATACTTCATTTTTTTGTTCATTCAGTTTTGTGTATTCAGAATTATATTCCAGGTTGTTGACAGTTGCACTGAGTTGCCCTTGTTACATGTATCTGGTGTGACCTTAATGAATATAGTAGATTCTGTTATAAGTCTCTCTTTCCATTTGTTCATATTAGTTTCTAGAATACCAACATTGTTCCAATCGATATTGTGGTTTTTGTCCCATGCTTATACAACTATAGATGAATTATTTTCTAAATTCTTGTAAGCTTGTGTTCCTGTTGGTTGACCTTTAGTCGGTTAGGCGTTTTATGTTCATTCACTCTTATTCTGAGTGATCTGGACGTTTGACCCACATATTTAGTCGGACAGTCAGCACAAGATATTTTGTAAATCACATTGTTTATTTGATCTATTCCACAATGTTCAAACTTTTTACTGACATTCAGTTAAGAATATAATACAACAACAAAAAAACTGAAACTATGGTTTTTACCATAATATCGCTTTCTAGGTGACTCACACCCTCCATGGGAAGTGAAATATCAATATACCATGCAACAGGGAATGAACATTTAGTTTCTGTTACATTTGAAAACTAAGTAGTACTTCAAAGAATGGGACTCAGTGGCTCCAGTGCTCAACTTTCAACCAATAGGTGGCGGGTTTGAGTCCCGCTCGACCTACCGAAGTTTGGACAACAGGGTTATATCACTAGCCCTTGCACAATAGGCGTGGCTCATTGTCAACTGTATGTACTGCAATTGGCTATTGAGTAATATTTCGTCCATTTCATTTACACTTAGGTGAAGCTTCTAAATGATCAAAAGGAAAAATATCTTAAGGTAAACTTTGACATCAATTTATATCAACCAGGCGATCAATGAAAGCTAATGGGTACAGCACAATTGTTTAGTCCTAGTTTGGGAAACTAAGGCAGTAGTCACAGATAGGAAGGAGTAATTTAAGTAGTAAGAAACTGAAACCATAATATAACCACCCCATTGGTAAATGTACCGTACAAAAGGATGAATGTCAATGTACGTTATCTAGTCATAGCTACAGTGATTCATATACTTTACCGATGCCTTTGGCTGTAGAAGTTATGAATTCAACACCACTTCTACGATATGGTGATGTATAATGCCTTCCCCAATATTTTTTCAAGCTATAAACTAAAACTTTCAGCACAAAAAGACGATTATTAAATACTGGAAAAATGAATCAAATGTAACTTCTGAGTCAGCCGATGTTGGGTGACTGCAAAAGTACTTTATAAAGCAATACAAGGCATTTACAAATTAAAGTGAGACAAGGTAGGTTACTATAGACTAGCGCGTTTACTGTGTATATAGTCAGCTACAAACTTTCAAGACTAGTTATAACTAATAAATGGGGAATCTTGGGAGATTTGACAGAATTTCATAATACATTATCGACCTTTTATCATCGTGGTTTTTGTCCTGCATTGATCCTTAGACGGACAGAACCAGCATATCAGTTTAAAAAGAGTCACTTTAAAATTGGCACAATAGAAAAGAATAAACAACTAAGAATCCTAACTATCACACGGTAATCCGGTGTTTCTGATAAATAATTAATCCAGAGAGATGATACTTTTACTGGCTGAAAAAGAAAACACTTGATGAATGAAAGCTACATGATAAATCACAACAATAACAAAAACCTGTCAATTATTCCACTTAATTATGAAAGAAAGCAAAAATTATTGCGAGCTGATCACGGATTGATATCAGTTAGAGAAATATTGAAAATCAGGGAGTACTAGACAGCCGTTTCATCCTAGTTTGGAAATCATCGGCAGTACGCACCCGCTGGGGTTCGAAGGTCCTGGGTTTGAATCCCAGTGGGTGTGTACTGCCGATAATTCCCACACTAGGATGAAACGGCTGTCTAGTACTCCCTGGTTCTAAATGGTTCTCTAACTGATATCAATCCGTAATCAACTCGTAAAAAACAAAACTAACCCTTAAAAACCAATTATAGAAAAATTATTCCTTTAAAAATGATTAATATACATAAAACTTAAAACACTGACGTACCTGGAAGAATTTTAACAACAGAAGGATCAACTGCATGAATTTCAATATTTAGGTGTCTACAGTCAGTCATACTTTGACCTTCAGAATCAAGAACAGCTAACCCAACTGCCAAGCGTTCAAGATTAGATTTCATGGTAGAAACATCACGTGAGTTCAATTCCGAATCAGCTGATTGAACAGAATAGGTATATGATAACGAGTCATCGGCAAATGTAGCTTTACGCCGAGATGGAATAAGAACTTCATTACGTCCTGATACGAACCTCATTTCAGTAGGCGAGCGTACATGAGCTATAGTATGTCCACACAATTGAGGATTTGAAAAGCTAGATGCAACTATGACAGATTCACCAAGATCCTAAAATTATTGGTTGGAACAATGAAACAGTGAAAAAATTTATAAGTTAATGTATACTCATATCTAAGGGAAACAACGAATTAATTGTGTTCTGTGCTGAACAAAACATACGTCGGTAGCAATACATATTTAACAACAATACAAAGATCCACTTCAAAATCCACCTACATAACTCCTAATTACGACTACACGACTTATTGTTATATTTCGGGGTTTCCATCTGGCAGGCAACCTTTTTGATTATCAGTCAGGAGGATTAATAATATCAAAATAATTTTATTATACAAGTCAATAAAGTTTCAAAGTGATGTTACTTTCAAACGCTCCTATCACCATTAAAGTAGAATGACAATTTCGATAGAAGAATTAGCATCATGCTCATAGTTATTATAAAAACAAGATAACTTCTTGAAATTTACATTGATAGATGTGACTAGTTAAAATTGATCAGGGAACAAGAAAAAACCGCTAACATTGATTCTAAAATAATTTTGAATGCATGCAGAGAAAATCACACAGATTCCATACACTTACTCAGACAATGGTCAATAGATTTGCACCATTCAATAATTCAACCAATTTAGTGGCTTTTTGTAATAAAGATATACATAATGAGTAAGTTTAGTGCCTCCAAAATGATTTAGCATACGAGAGGAATGTTTGAAGTCGAAGAACATCAAATCGGTATGGCAATCAATATACTGGTCAATACCCACTAAGTTAGCCCACACAGGTCTTTTAAAATAAAACTGGACATGAAAGCATTTACCAGTAATAACACTAGCAGAATTGTTGGTGAATCCAATCCTTTATTAAAATGGAACTGAAATGCTATTACAAGTCAAAATACGTAAAAAGGTGGTAATACGCTGCACAATGGTTTACACGATACAACACAATAAACTTACCAAAGCTGATATAAGACCTGTTTTTGTAATAGACACGACAGTATCGGTAAGAGACTCAACAGCTGGTATTCTACCAGAATTAGCATAGTATTCTAATGCATTGGCAGATAAAGCTGTCCATCTATATTGTCCGCATCCTCCACTAGCACGCAACTGGTAACCAGCATCAGGAAGCGTACGATTAAATGAAGGTGATGTATTCATTGACCATGGTAATATGACCGAGGTGGGGTGAATTTTGATAGGTGAGTAAATAGTTACATCTTGACTGCCTGTTATCACCGAATTGAATTCAATAAAGCTTCCATCCTTTTAAAAAGGAAAAAAATTAAAAACAAGCTATTAGGCTGGTTAGAACAGACACACCTAAACGCTGTTTTCCTGTTTGACATAAGACAAATAAAATGACGTTTCGCCTATTCCGCGAATATTTACACGATGTTATGAATTTCACCAACAAGCAATATTTATCGCTACATAAAAACACAAGAGGATTTGGAAACTGGGAGAATAGTAATCATTTGTTTCCCTTAAATATTCTAAAACAACTTGAATTACAAGTCTCCTAGAAAATGAGTCCAGTTTAAAGGAATCACAATGGAATTCATTGAGGCATAAGAGTAATTCAACGGACATAAACAGATCAAAGAAGTACTTCATTCTAAGGAGTTAGGCTATGGTCTTAATATTTTAATTCATACAAGTAATATACAGCTGATACATTGGAAAATATCCATAGATGTGTGGGACACTAGGTTTCACAGTTAAGATGAAGTCTAGCTTCTCAAACAAAGCTCAATAAAATATGAAGTCTCCAAATAAGTATTACTACTACTACCACTTTCTGAAAATCTGCCTTGAGCAAACTAAAACAAGCTCTCAAAAAGAACAAGTTACAAAATTGATAGCAAAAATTAACTTCTTTTACGAATCACCTGGATGAATTCTATTACAATAATCACATTTAAAATAACCAATAAGCAAAGTAACATACCTGATCAATAACACCTTTCAAGACCGCTTTGAGAGATACTGTACCAGATGACGACGCTTTAACAATAACATATGTTTGATTTGATGACGATTGTAAAATCTAAAATACAATTACATAGGAAGAAATAAAGCAACTCCTCTAGTAGATAAAGTTGGCCTTAGACTGTCTTTTAAAGCATGAAACAACTGAAGTAAGGACAGAATAGTTGGAAACCCATTACTTAAGCTAATGAGCCACGTCACACTTATGTAAATTATTAGCGTAAGACGACCTACAAGGGTCCATCTGTTCGCTGTAGTAGCACACGCTACATTATTAGTGAAAGATAAAACTTGTTTATGGTGGTAATAACTCTAGGCTTAATGAATGAAATATATTTTCCTCTGTTCCGGCTATCATGCTACTGTATCTAGCCTTTTCCCTTGTTCCTTTCTTGTTTCACTTTCATATTATGGTACATTCACATTATTGGGTTAGGGAGTGTCAAATCTCTGAATATCCATTTTATATAGGAGTGAAGTTTCTCCGCCTATTTGATACACTATTGTGGTTTACCACTATTATTATAGGATTGTTAACACATCAGTAATACAGAATATAAAAATTAACCTTCATCTAGTTGTGCTTCTGATAAACGTCTTTTGAAGAATCCTTCACTAAAGCAAAAATATTAAAAATATCTGCTGAGTACATTTGGTAATGAAAATGGCAACTCCCGCCTTCTGATTTGCTCTTGCCAACAGTTGAGTCCAGTACTTTCCCACACGTTTGTGACTAAGAGAACGTAGGTGAGCAAGTGATGATATCTCTACTTAGAACGAAATAATACAGCTATACAGCGAAATACACTGGATTTCAAGTAATGTCTAGGCCTTTTAGATCTCGATAAGGAAAGGGAAGTTTAAACCCATAACGCTAGATGAGTAAAGTACAGTTTCATACTACATTAACTGATAACAGCTGTGTAGAGCACTGTAATAGTATAACCAACTCCAGTTTTGTAGCATTAGAACGAGGAAAGTCTGTCCTTACAAAATATCATAGGTATACTCAGTAAACAGTACAGTGAAAAGATAAGTTACACGCTTATAAGGGTTTTCGTAGTTAACAAAAAAAGAATTTTACCTCGAAATGACTTTCCGGAAAATTAAGAGTGAGACGTAAATTGTCTGATGGATATAAACGGTGGTTGTTACGATCGTATATATCTACAGTAATCACATAGACTTTGCCTGATTCCATAATCCACTTCCGAATAGGCATGTGAGAACCAGATCCAATGTGGCTAACATATGATCCTGAACTCAAGAATGCTGCCAGCTGACACATGTCTGACTGTTTGCTAGTGGACTTCTGCATGAGTGTAAAGCCTAAGTAGGCTGGTTCCACAATTTGTATAAGTGAAGTTGGCCGTCTACGTTTTGGCAAAAGAAGATCTGACTCTTCTACTTCTGATTTCATAACCTGATCTAATTTTTCTAAAGCTTCTTCAACATCTAACAAAGAAAGAATAGGAGACGGAAATATCAGTTCGCATATCAATAATATATTCGTTCATTTTCTTAAAGAATGAGAATATATATTAATGGAATGGTTGGTAACAAAAAGCAGAGAAAACTTACTGCGATCAAGTAGAGTAACTTCCGTCTGTCCATAATTCAGAGCTTTAAGAGTACAACCATCAAGTGGGCTAAGGACAGCTAAATCTGTATTGTTCACTTGTAGATGATACTGAAGAGACGGCATTGACACCTCTGTGAAGAAATGTATTGGAAATAAACAATCAGAATTTATCTAAAAGACAAAGCTTCAAAATGATAATGATCAACGCTATTTTACAGTACATCCTGCTTATGACCATAACTCACTGGGAACATAAGCAAGCATACAACGGACACATTAAGTTCCCCCAGCACATATACCAGTGAATACATATAACAAAGTGACTGAGTGATATGTAGTTGACTCTTTTATTGCACGCAGCCTAATACGAATTCATACACCACTGATTTTCCAAAACTTATAGACACAGACTATATATCTATAGGAACAAAAGCTACCCTGTCAAGCTACCAAAGAAGGGCGACTTAAGCCCATACAGGAACTGGCGTAGAATGATGCTGTTGGCCACGCCAAATAATACAGAGTCACGTCATCCTGGAGAGAATAAAAGATACACTGCATGCAGAAATTCGTCCAGATGGTTTCAGAAAAGACAAATCTACTATGGATTGACAAGCAACACTCGTCTTAATCCCCATAGTATTACATTTATTGATAACACTAGTATTTGTTCCAAATGTGCTTCATCTTCTTTGCTGTTTTACATATGTCTATTGAACTTTAACTGAATTTATTTATATGTCTAATCAATGTTAATCATATAAATAAACGAAGCAAGGATGTTAAGTGGGCACCTTGATAGGATTATAAGCAGTAAATTGTGCTTGAAACGTCAACAGTAAATATTACTGTAACACTGTGTGACTACATCAAAGTGAATTCTATCCATGATGGAATTGTAAATGATTCCAAGACTAGATTGAAATTTTCCACAGGCATTAACTGACTGCGCATAATTCGATCCACATGAGGGGTGAAACCAATCTTACTATATAACACTGGCTTCGGAGCACTATAAATCAAAGGTACAAACACTCTAAGTGAATGTCGGGACTGTAGCACGAGAACAGCATAATAGTCAAAATAGTACAACCGCTTCTGAATGAAGTACCTGACAACGAAACATACGCTCGGGAAATTTAGACTTTTGGTACGAACAATAATGCCTTGTTGGTTAATATGCATTATACTTACCCTGGTCATCACCTTGCTGTATGACGTGTACCGTGAACGTCAATATAGAATTCGGTACTAAGTAAGCCAACGCTGGACTCAGTTGAGCATTCGCCATTACAAGCAGACGGACTTGACATGGGGCTACATTCATGTATATTGACTCTTGTAAAGCAACGCTAACGACAGCCGAGCCAGTGCGTAACCCACTAATTAATTGCATGTAGCCCTACAAACATTAGTTTGAAAACAATATACAAACCTGAAGTCCTTTAGATTCTAATAGAGCCATTGTACTTGGAGTTGTATATTCCGATTCACTCCATGTAATAAATCTCAAAACATTCTGAGCATCACCAAATTCCTCATATCTATTTTCAAATAGACGCCACTCAAACGGTACACCTTCAAGAGATGAAAATGTATTGCCGTATTCATCAAAAGCCGTCACAACAAGTGATACGGGGGTATTGTGAAGGTATAGCTCCTGAGTAGTCGTACTTATTTCAATTCGGTGAATGTCATCCACAATCACGTCACACTTAACAATATGTTCAGCATCTGATTGAGGAAAATGAAGCTATAGCTAAACTTACTTATTATCTTAGCATATATAGTGGCGACAGCTCGGTGGCGAGATTGCCAGACAGCTGTGATAACGGCTGCAGTAGAGCATCCGCTTTCGGGTGTTACTATTGGACTAACTACAGCAACTTCGGGTGTACCCGAATGCCTAACTCAGATGTTAGTAAATTAGTTATTTTACCATTCATAGCAAGCACCATCGCTACCGTGGAGTGTAAAATTGACGGGGTTTACACTGTAAAACGGCAGAAGTAACTTTGAGTCACTTAATTTGAAGTCGCAATACACAATTTGCAGGAAAGTGAAGAAGAGCACGACATGCATCGTTCCAATTCGATGCCGTGCGAAGGTCACTAATGCGACCCAACAATTTTTCTTTCCACTGTATTTTGAACAGCTTGCAAAAACCTGGTGACTTTTTAGTATTTATTCCCCGAATATAGATTCAGATAACCATTCAGATTATATGTAGTCAGTTAATTTATTCGTTAAGTGAAGCTTCTATAAATTCAGCGCGAACTTTGAAAAGAAAGTAAATTTTCCAAGCTCTTGTTCAGTTTCACCTTTTGTTGTGTTATACGCTCCAAACGTCTACAGAATAACTTCAAATAAATTTATTCTGGTTGGAGTTGGTCTACTGTTAGGTTTAGAGTCTGTCTACTGATAGGAATTGTGTCCTTAGGACTTTATAGTTATTATCTATTCATTTTTGTACATTCATTCGTGTTTTATCACTGATTTATATAAAGGTCACATACAGAAGATTATATTTGAATCTTCTAGCCCCAATTCACTCTGAAAAGTATGCTTATTAAAGGGAATGGCTGAAAAAGATTTATGTGTCGATTGCGAGTGTGAAAGCTGCAAGAGTTGGTTTCACAACATGTGGAAGTATCCTTAACTGAACGTAGTGACTTAGGAATCGACTTGTTACCAGGGAATAATCTAATGGACTCAGAATATGCAGATGACATAGTCCTGTTAGGGGAGGATGCTGACAAAATACAGCAGAGTCTTCTGAACACCTTGAGCAGCAATCTTCGTATGTTTGGCATGCGATTCGCCCCTGCAAAATGTAAGATGCTGCTACAGGACTGGACGACGTCAACCCCTAACTTAGTGATAGGGAGGGAAGTGATAGTGTAACAACAGAAGACAAGGGCCAGGCAACAGATCGTTTTATTATGAAAATCAACACGTATTTATACATCTTTCAACTACATTATTATAGACAAGCGCAGTCATCTGATTGGTTGTTTAGGTAGACAAACGCAGGCTTCTGATTGGTTGTTTCGGGATTCCTTGACAAATAGAGTTCTCTCTGCGAATCATATTTTGCCACGTCAACTTTGCTGTGATTGGTTGTTGACTCAGGCTTGTTCACGGCCCATATTAGTGACCTAGACCTTAACGTAGATTAGTGCCAACCAATCGGCTAGCAGCCTGCTCTCACCACAATAGAACATGTTGACCACTTCACCTACTTGGGAAGTTGTATTAGCACCAACGGACTGATTGGCGATGAAATCTCAGCACGGATCCGAAAAGCTCGAGCTGCTTTCGCTGACTTACACCATCTCTGGCGTAGGCGTGACATCCGGTTATCAACCAAGGGACGTGTGTACTGCTCATCAGTTCGCTCCGTCCTTGTCTATGGCTCTGAAACATGGCCAATACGCGTTGAAGACATGAAAAGGTTGACTGGTTTCGATCATAGATGTCTGCGATCTCTGTCTCACGTTAGGTGGTTTCACAAGATAAGTAATGTTGACGTTAGGCGTAGAGTGTTGGGCAAAGAGGGAAAATCAATCGACGAGGTTATAAAGTTACATAGACTAAGATGGCTAGGTCACGTGGTGCGCATGCCTAACCACCGCCTCCCCCGACGGGCATTGTTAGCTGATATAGGTTCAGGTTGGAAAAGAGCCAGTGGTGGCCAAACAAAAACATGGCATCAATCCATGAAATCCTTGACAGTTAAACTGAGTTGGTCAGGTAGGGAGATGCAGACTCCCGGGTTGGGGCCCTCGGGACTCTAGGAATCAATGGCTGGAGACTATAGGTGACATGGCTCAAAATCGTTGTCAATGGCGCAGATGTATTCAATCTCTGTAATCTTTCATATTCCTTTCTACCATTACCCATTCTGTTTCACTCCTATATTTGTCAAACTCTATTAATTCTCTCCACTCATCTTCTTGTCTACCTCTGTGTGCTATTTGGAACGTGGCAACTCGAACTGCTGCACTTCGGTGCCAAGTTCTATGTTGAATCCAGACAGACAGACAGGACAAACCTAACTCCTGCAGCATACAGGCACTACTTCAGCCCTCCGGGGAACTGGCTGTGTAATTACTGCTGACGTACGACTAATTTCCATGTTATGGAAGTCACTGCCAATCTCGGTGGTGCTCTGAAGATCCTTGACTGCAAAGGCCCTCCACCACAGGAGAAAAGCATCTACTGCTCAGACACCGATGACGTGACTAGCGTCATCGGCAAGACAGTGCACGCTCCTGACGCACTTCTGTCAGGGAGTGAGTGCTCTTCAGCGAAGAACAGCCCCTACGATGCCCGATAAACCCTTCATTTCCAGTAATAGGAAGGCTGGCACGAGGAAAGTGCTTACCATGAGTCGAAAACCCATTAGGACACCATAAAGGACACACTCTCCATGAAGGATGGAAAGACGCCCACACTGCTAAGCATGAAAGCCATGGCAGGCGAACCTTATCTCTTCCACTGGTCAATCATCCTCCACAAAGTTGACGAACTGTCGGCTTCCAATCCCACGTTCAGGTTCGAGCATGACCTTAACTCGGTCAATCCTTTCTTGGATGAGCTACTGCCAACAGCAGTATCAAACCGAACGCAGCTTGTACAGAATCGGCCCAAATCGGACTCTACGGTAAATCAGTTAGTACGCTTTCCCAAAGTCGTACCAAACTCAAAAGAAGAGATGGATGCCATTCCAAAATCTTAAAGGATGAGGCATATATGTCCATGCCGACTTATGCCATGCAGATGGCGTCGAAAGACGGCCCATTGCTATAGAATTAGGTGAGCGGCGCCAAAATAGCAAGAAAATGTTTTCGGACTAAGTGTTTCCGGGTTGTCAAAACCCGAAGTTTGATGATACTGGCACCTCTGTGGGTAGGCCGCGGAAGCATCAAACTGAATTGACAGTTAGCTACACAAATGCCGAGAGCCTGTTGAACAAACGGACTGAGGTGGATAATATGATAGACTTCCGAAATCCGGATGTAATTTTCATCATGGAGATATGGCCGACATCCGATGTCACTGACAGCCAAGTCAACTTGCCAAACTTCGCGGCGCATGGGATGAACCGACTTTGCCGCAAGGAGGTGGCATAGTTATCTGCCTTGAAAAATGCCTAACCGTGCGTAGCATCGAAGCACTCGCTCACGAAAGTGAATCGTGCAAACTTCTACGCTGCAGGCTTAAATGCATAGCTCAAGATATTTACCTCATTGCTATGCACCGCAGTCCCCACTGCAGTACAGACGACTTTCTAATGGAGAAGCCAGGCTCCTGGACAAAGAAATATCGAAGTCTAGTGGTCGATGACCTCAACGCCCAACAGTTGATTGAACAAAGCCTAAAACGCCGCCTTCAGTCAGTTCCTTTGATCATAAGCTGCTGGAATCCAGTAGTTGGCTAGCCCTACTCCAACATGTAATTAAGCCCCTGCTGTATAATTTTTCATTTATTTATTTTGATTACAGCTTGATTCCACACTGCATTTTTTTGGTACAAATATGGAATTTTCAGTATGGATATCGGTAGCCCGAATTTTGCAGGCCAACCATAGATATCAGGTGTTCGTCGGCAGGGGATCGAACCTCGGACCATGTGCATGGTCGGCGAGGGTCCTAACCACTGTGCCACCGATGCGCAGCACTCCTCTTCAACTCTGGACCCTGCGTTCTCCCATGGTGAGGACGTGGATCTCACACAACATCTTCCTCCTTTAGCAAAAAATGATCATGCTGCGCTCACTTTCAAGTTTACAGAAATAGTATCACGGGTAAAGACCCCAGCTCGATCAAACATTTGGAAAGCTGATATAAATGCGACAGTCTCAGCAGCCAACTAAGTGAAGTGGTACATCAACCCAGAGTCCCAAGCAGAAGCCGCATGGAACCAATTTAAACAACTTTACGCCCAGGTAACTGAACCTTTCATCCTTTGGTCTGTCGCAAAGTGTCGGAAACATTACTCTACATGGATAAACCGAGAGATTAGTAAGTCATTCGGACGTAAACACAAATGCTGGAACCTGTTTGCCACACTTGAGACTCCTGAGACCAGAAAGTTATCCAGCATCACTGGGAACAATGCTATTGCGGAAATCCGCCGATCAGGGATGAAGTTCGTAGGACATCTGCCTCAAAATGTAAAGGTAAAACCTGAGAAAATGTTCTCGCACATGAACTTAAGAAATAAGAAATCCGATTGTGTTCCAAACTTGACTATTGACAATGACACAATAGAAGAAAATCATGAAGAAGCAGAAGCAACAACAGACTACTTCTCCTGAGTCTGATTCATTCGAGAAGGGTTTGGAAGAGCTCAGAAATTTTCTAAAAAAGGATTGATATATGCTCCAATCCCTCTAACCTCGATCATTAAATCTGAAATCTGAGATTTGGATTCTAAATTGTTCAAAATCGATCTTTTGTCAGTTGGGCTCATAGGAGCTGATAAAGGAAAACTCGCATTTTTCAGCTATGTATACATATCCCTATTCTTCAGAGTACTTCATTTTTTAACTGCTGTCCACAGCTCTTCATATCCCTATATAATTCCCACAGAGAGCGACTGAAGCATTTAATGCAATACAAACCACAATCAATAGCACTTTTCTCCTAGTAGGATTCACTGCCTCCAGATCAATCCTTACCAGAACAACACTGGATTACTGATTGTCTTCAGAGATGGGCGATGTCTATGACTGTCAGAAGTCAGGAAAAACCTAGGCAGAGTACATGGACTGCACTTTTATTAACCCAGAATATTGAAAATATTTGATGAAAGAATTCCTGGGACATTTCAAGCCTTATCGAAACTGTTAAATAATAGTTTGTTGGGCTTCTAGGCAATTTTCTGCGCTTATCTGCATGTTACGAATATCACGAAAGCTTCGGTTATCGCCGTTGTGTTGCAGCACTACTCACTGATATGCTTAGTGTCATGCACCCTTTGGTTAGGGGTCTTTCACAGGTCCATAAGTCAGTGTACATGCCCAAAATTTCTCTTTAATTTTCCAGGTCCAGAAAAAGAATGTCGCACAAACACCATACTGCCCTGATCCCTTAAGGGAATGTAAAGCAGGTAATCTGAACCCTTTTTGAACATCTTTCGCCTTGTCCCAAACTCCCTGAAGAAACATTCTCTAACTCGTACAGATTATGCAGTTCTCCTTGAGCAAGTTGTCACCATTTTAGGGGCTGAGAGTGTTACCTTTCAAGGACACTACGATATATACT